ATTGAAGACCTTATAATTTGACCTGGGGCCAACTCCCAACTTTATTACTCAACATTCTCCAAGTAGAATTTCCTAGTTCACTGGGGACCGATCTTTCTCCACCAACACTGCCCGATATGACTTCACTGCTCATTGTCCCTGCCTGCTCTGAAATTTAATTTCCAGTTTAATCTTCCTAAAAATCAACTCCAATCAAGCCACTTTCCTACTTTGGAATACATTTTTACACTCTATTGCCTAGTGATATAATTACAGACTATCCTTGGCAGCTCCATCTCGCTAACTCAGTAGTTCTGACTCATTCCTCTTGTTCCACACAGTTCACAAAACATTACCATAAGTTATGTTGCACTTTTTCTTCTATAATCTTCAGGGAACAAATCAAATCCACTCAGGGCTATGTAGCATTGCCTAATGGAATAATTGTAATATATATACATATATCCAAATTCTCTAAAGCGCTTATTATGTGGCAGGTATTTCTGAGCATTTCTTAAAGTATGAATTCATTGAATCCTCCCAACAGTCCTATGAAGTAGACACAATTATTGTTTCATTTTACAGCTGAAGAAACTGAAGCACAAAAAGGGTATACAAACTTCCCAAGGTCACATCCTATATAAAAAGCCTAATATGCTAAGTGTCTGACCGTTTGTTCGACCAGTTGCTATGATGTGCACTGACCACCAGGGGGCAGACACTATGACTGGTAGGTTAGCTTGCTGCTGGGGTTTGGTGGATTGGGACTGGGCAAGCGAGTTGGGCCAGATATGCCCTGGAGCCCTCCCACGGTCCCTCCCAGCCCCCATCATGCACAGGTGGGGTCCCTTGGTCTGGCCTGCACCCTCTCACATTCTGGGACCCCTCAGGGGATGTTGGAGAGCAGGTTTCAACCTGATCCCTGCAGGCCAGGCCTAGGGACCCCACTGGTGCACGAATCCATGCACCGGGCCTCTACTGGTTAATAAAAGGCGGAGATATAATTTAATAGTTGAGGTCTGCAGTCTATGCTAGTAATTCTTTTGGCATACTGCCTCTCTCCTTGGATTCTTGCCCCTCATCACCAGCCCCATTACTAGAGGCGAGAATTACTGAGCTCAATCATTTTTATCAGGGTTCAAAAGGATCCCATTGTATTTTGAAAGTGGCTTGAATCCATCAAGCCTCCAATGACTCAATACCACTGTGATCTCCTAGATCACCTTTCTCAGGTACCACGTGTGGCCTATTTACCATATATTAACTTTGTTACCATCAAACTGGGTGATATATATCACATCTCTCTAACTCAGTGGTTCCCAACCTTCCTAATGACACGACCCTTTAATGCAGTTCCTCACGTTGTGGTGACCCCCAATTTCATTGTTACAAATTGAATATAATTGAAGCATAGTGATTAATCACAAAAACAATATGTAATTATATATGTGTTTTCCGATGGCCTTAGGCAACCCCTGTGAAAGGGTCGTTCAACCCCCAAAGGGGTTGCGACCCACAGGTTGAGAACCGCTGCTCTAACTCATAATGGACACAGCAACTTGCTCTTCTGATTTCCCAATTTTGTTTACAGTCCCCCCAACCTAAGTTCAAAGTCACTTCTGTCTCCTCTCTCACTCGCCTATTCCATATTCACAGACAATTTATTTCTATGTTTTGGTTGTTCATGTGTCTCTGATACCACTGGTTATCTTCTCTACCTTTTCTATCTACAGCGAGAGATGCCACACCCATTAATTGGCCCAGGATAAGCAAGCCATGTGTTAATGGTTCTTATATTGCTTGAGATTCTCACTACCCTTTCTCCAGCCAGCGCAGGAGTCTTGTATGTGGTCTTCTGAATGTGAGCCTTTGACCCCAGGTATTGGTTGCATTTATTTTATCTAAGGAAGAGCCTCTGTCCTGTTTCTGTCCATTACCCTTCCATCCATTACCATTGCTACAAGAGCTCGCTCCTTAATTGGTACCAAAAAGTCTATACCATCGACCTGTCCTTCCAACCTCATCTCCCATTACTCCACTCTAAACACGCCTGACCAAAAGCTACTTCTATAAATGTTCTCTTTTTCCACCTCCATATTCTTGCTTGTGCAATTTATTTTACTGGAAATGCTGACCCTCGCCCTGCCCTCTACCTTTACATCTTAACACATTCACATTACCTTTCTTCTTACTCTTGTTTTCTCACTTTTTAGATCTCATTTGGCTAGGAGCATGGATCTTTACTGGATTTGAAAATTCCTGAAGCCAGGAATGGGCTTTACACAGCTCAGCAATCCTTGCAACATCATCCAGTTTCTTGGACATATTAAATCAATGCGTTGGCTAGAAATAACGGCTAATCCCCACTTGATTCTATGTAGAAAATACGAGCCTTTCTTCTAACACCATCTTACCCATCGTTTTGCAAATGTCATAAATCAGAGGCTAGAATGCGTTAAGAAAAAGCCTTCTAAATTCTAAGCCATGGGAAGGACACATTGAGATTGATTAAGTACCTCCTGGTATCACCTTTAAATTCCCTAAACCTAGACTCAATATGTATCTGTTTTGTTTCTATACATTTACTCTAACAATCTGTCTCATCATTTAGCACTAATGCCTGACATCCCTGAAGCTTAGTTTCCTTTCCTATAAAACCAGGATAACAATACCTACTGTACATGATGGTTTATGGAGATTAAAGGAAATAGAGATCAAATTTGATACTCTATTGGTTCTTAAAATTAACTATTGAATACAATAGGCACCGAACATGTGTTTAGCAACTTCCTCCTGTCATGAGTGACCATGCCCACTTCCCTGTAGGGACCTGGAATCCATACTGGCGTTGCCTGCAGGGCGGGCTGGCACAGGCAGAGGCCCCATAGAATTGCCTGGGAAGTAATGTACATAATCCACACACACCACTGACCTTCGGGGAGGAAGGAGCCTCTGAAACAGACAGTTGCTCACTCTTTTGTAAAAAGAACAGACTGGTAAGTGTTTGCAGGTAAAACCCTTCCCTGTCCTAGAATTCTGCCTCAAACCAAAAGAACGAAATCAGAAGGACTAACATCAAATTCAGAGGAATGGGTTCGGATTGCAATCCACGATCCTCAGTGATGTCTCATGCTCCACCTAAATATCCCCTGCCTTTCCCCCGACTCCACCTCTCCCCATTTGAGACTGTGACCCGGGGAGATAAATTGTGCTAGAGACTCAGCAGAGGTGAGTCCGCAGGTGGTGAATGAAATGGCTCCGGCTGGCTGGATGGGAATACATTGAATTAATAGCGACACCACAGTAGAACCACTACTGTTGGTTTTCAGGGAGCATTATAGATTCAAATTCGCTTGAATTCAATCTTTTGTCCCTCTTCATTTCTTATTACTTTCTGATGTGTTTTCTTTCTCCAATGTCTCTTCTTTACCTTCTCCTTGCTCAGTAGCCTCCTTCGAACACTGCTTCTAGCATCGGGACTTTTAAATACATATCGTTAACTCTGTAATTAAACAAAGTAAAGGAAGTTGGTCTCAATTAAAGACAAGCTGGAGAAATAAGGACTTTTTAAGGAAATGAAGCTTTATCACTCTTAGGGCTTTCCCAAAACTGTTGGAAGCAGTGACAGAGCCACAGTGCTTAGGGAATGGGTGGCCGCCTGAACCTCCACTCGAGCACATACTGCACGTTCACTGTTGGAAATAATGTATGTGTTTTTGCTTCCTTTTTTTTTTTAACTAAAGACCTTTACTCTTTAAATAGACTAATGTTTATTTCTTTACAAATTGCTTAGCAAACGTTTTTCTTTGAACACCGTGGATAGTGAGCTATAAATGCAAATCTTAGTTGTTTAAAACTTAGTGTTAATGAGGTCAAGACCACACACTAAATCTTTCCATCTGCCAATTATCCTTATTGCGTGGCCATAAGTGTGTGAACAAGGAGCTCTGGGCATGAGACGCTTTAGTATGAATCTGTCCAGTTTGCCTCCACATCGTTGGAAAATGGCTCTGTTTTCATCAGCTATGCTCCGTGGTTCGTAGCTTCGCATTTCTTCGTGAGCAGCAGTTATCTTAAATTTTTAGTGATAATTTTAGCACCATACTGGTTATTTTAATCATTTATTTATTTGATATTTCAACTTTCTGCTATGTAGTAGTGTTGCTTAAAATGAGGCAAGCATTTTCTGCTTTCCAGTGGCATTGCTCATTGTGTATTTATATCCTACTTGTTAAGGCTAATAACACTACGTGAGCACATGGAATTGCATCCGAACTCGAAAGGTAAAATAATGTTCTATTTCGTGAGATGAGTGATTTTTTTTACTAACTTCTCATTCCGACTTAGAGTGCTTTTCTCCTTTGATTAAAATGTATTTCTCAATTAAATTAAAATGCAAATACAGACAGGCTGTGTTTATGGTTATAATAGAATTATTTAAAGAAGGTTTTAATTCAACTTGCTATTAATATTTCATGCAAGAACTGTTGGTTTTATTGTTGGGTTAGTACTGCCATGTTCCATTTTCAAGATTACTTAAAGTGCTATGAAAACTTAATCATACTGCGCAGATTTTTATCAATTGTTGCACTCTCTTCTCTGGGATGTTAAAATGGACTGCTTTCCTATATACTTTGGAAGTTATGTCAGTGATGTAGAAATATCAGTGCTAACACTTTAGAACCCCTTGCAATTGAGTTATGAAAAATTTGCTATTTGTTTTGAATAAATATTCTATTGCACAGAATTGAATCAACTCTTAAATTTAAGAGAACCACATTCTAGAATTAATTATGCAATTAAAGATCTGGAAAAGTACTTCAAAACACCATTTAGTCTAACCTTGTAATTTATACAAGAAATATAAAATGTTGTATTAGAAATTGCATGTTATGCTATGGATTTCATTATGATGTTTTTAGTACATTTTTAGAAGTATTCTATAACTTCTCAAATAAATTGATTAAAATAATTAAATATATTATAGCTTGATCTTATTCTCTTTTTTTGTTATTTTTTAGAGACCTCAGTGAAAACCAAATTCAGGCAATTCCAAGGAAGGCTTTCCGTGGAGCAGTTGACATTAAAAATTTGTAAGTAGTTTTTTAAAAATGTATACGGCTTTTTAAAGCCATCCTATTTTTAATGTTAAATTTATATTAAAGAAACAGTAATGAGAAGTGGTGAAAGCTCAATGTATCTTTATGCTTGATTAGGAGAGCTTGTAAAGTAAGTTTTATATTGTTTTCACAATTTATCGGCAAGGATTCTCATTTAGATGTCTTGAATCTGAACTGGTTACCAAATTCATTTTTCAGACCTTGTGATTAATCTTGTTAAATCTGAGAAGTGATTTGATTAAAAGATATTTGCAATGTATTTTCTGCCTTTTACTGTCAGCTTATTTCAATAACTCCCTTTTCGGTTGTTACTGCTGTTTATTGGATATGCAGACTATAAACTATTTTTTCCAGAAAGAGTAGATAATATTTTCTCGTTAGAGATACCTACAGCCTAGAGCTATAGCTTTCTAAAATACCTTTTAGATCACCATTTTCATTAAACACCAACAATGTGAGAGGAGAAAAATTATGCATTTCCCTTTGTGTGAATATTTTTCTTACATCTATTTTCCTTCATATCTTTATGGAAGAATATATGCATAACCTTCTTTAAATAGGAACAAGAAAAAGAATACTGCTTTCTGTATGTTCCCTTGACCAATCTTTAAACTGTAGTGTTTGTTCTAAGTGCCCGTGGCTCTGGTGATATGTATTGTATTTAAAATCTCAGTGGCAATACTAATATTGCCAGTATATACTTTTATACATTTTAAAATACCATATTATCCTTTGAAAATGATGGTTTTGGATTGACTGTGAAAGTGAGGGAATAAAATGTTTCTTTATCCTTTGCATTAGCTTGAAATGTAGGGGGAGAGGAGCCCCTAAGTGCTGAGATTAACTATCCAGAATTCAGTACTTTTTAACTGGTCATAAACAGGGCAGGGGCTGTGTCAAGAATTAACTTATATTCAGGATTCTCCATGGTGGGATCCAACATTTTTTTCAATGGAAAAAGCGAGACAGATGTTCTTCCTCGTCAAAGAGGATGATTGTTTACAATGCTACACGTCTTGGCTTCTGTAGCTTCTCTTCCATGTAAATGGTTTTTGTTTTAAATGTGTACTTTCTGCATGTACAAGTCAAGAGAAAAATAGAGGCTTCTGGATGTAACTGTGTAGAGCCATTGAAATCGTGGCCCTAGTTTTTTATGAGTGTTTACATGTTCAAAGGATTTTATTTGCTTTCTCTTTATCTTCTTTAGCTAGGGCTCCGGGAAGTCTGCCTGTAGACTCGGCGATATAGAGTGTTCCAAACGGCCTCTGTATATTATGTCGGAACATAAAGATCCTATGTAGCACCTACTCAAGTTGCCTCTTTGTCACTGTAAAAGGATAGTAATGGCTACAGTTGACCACCCTTTGGGAATGCACTTACAATCTTACCATAGTATTATCTCTAAGTCCTTAAAACAGGTGGCTTTTGCTTCTTAGGAAAGATATTCATGGAATCCAAGTCTATAAGTAATCCTTCTGCCAAATTTAAGGATACAGTTTGGAACAGGATGCAGGTCATGGTGAGATTCTTGCTAATATCCTCCTCTCTTATTCTTAAAAAAAATGTGATTTTAAAAGTTTAGAGATAACAAAAAAGTGAAGTGCTAGCCAGTGTGCTGAAGGGAATGCATTATGGACTTAGCAGGATTTTTGAAAATCTTTTTTCCCCACATGTGTTATCCTCACCCACCCCAAAATTAAAGAGAGTTATTATGTATTCGATGAGATGAGATTAGTACTGGAGTCTCAGAATCTTTTGGTATGTATTGGATTTGGAGCTATGACAAATTAGTAAACTTAGCCTTAGTTTTCACTTTTATAAAATGAACATAATAATTGCTTGGTTTTGTTGTATTAGGGGAGAAAGATATGTACAAGACTGTTTATAACAGTAAAATGCTGTGAAATAGAGTGGTTTTCATTCTGCAAGTACTCACTAATCAACAGCTAGAAGTTAACCTTGGAAAAGATAGAGTAAGAAGACAGAAAAGCAGGGCGTTTGCAACAGTAGTAATAGATAAGAAACCCATGTCTATTAGGGGTTATTTAGACGTGAGCTACAGAATGGAAAAATAAAATACATCAGAAAGTGCTAAATTACTCACCCAAGATGCTGACATTAAGAGCCATAGGTGCTGAGGAGAGCAAGAGATATATAAAAAAAGGATTGTTTGAAGTTATTAGGGAATTCTGTAGGAAAGAGTTTATAAAAGAAAATATAAAGGAATCTTTGGAGAGGATGGTTTGTATTCACAAATAGTGGCAAGGGTGAGATGGAGGTAGTCAGAATTTACTAAAGAGGCTGTACAAAGATAGAATTTATTCCCACTATTTTTACTGCCTTTCATGTAACAATGGGAAAGACTATCAGAGCAATGTTGAAATACCACAATGCATTTTTAGGTTTATTTAATTCATTAGGATCATAGCTAATGAATATAGTTTGAACTATAATTAAAATATAGTTCAAAATGTAGTTTGAACTATAATTAAAATATAGTTCAAACTACATTGTTCAAAAAATGTCCAGTTTCATGTGTCTTTATATAAAGTTCAATTTTTTTCATTAAAAGTTAAAAATATATCTGGTTGATCTCTTAAGAGGACTTGTATGCATGCATATAAGCATAAC